TGACATTTCTATTCTGTTCCATTGGTTTATCCATCTGTTTTTGTATTGGTACCTGGCTGTTTTGATTATAACTCCCTGTACTAAGTTTTGAAATCTGATATTGTGATACCTCTGACTTTTTTTTGTTTTTGTACAGATTGCTTTAGCTATTCAGGGTCTATTGTGTTTCCATATGAATTTCAGCATTATTTTTTTCTATATCTGAGAAGAATGCCTTTGGTATATTGATTGGTGTTACATTGAAACTGTAAATTGCTTTCAGTAGTGTGGATATTTTGATGACATTGATTCTTTCAATCTGTGAAAGAATATTTTTGCATCTTCTAATTTTCTTTAGTTTTTTGTAATCATAATTGTAGAGATCTTTGACATCCTTGGTTAAATTTATTGCAAGGTATTTTTTGTAGCTATTGTGTGTGGGATTGATCTTACAAGTTCTTTCTCAGCCAACACATTGTCTGTATATAAAAAAGCTGTTGATTTTTCTGTGTTGATTTTATATCCCTGCCACTTTACCAAACTCTTCTATGAGTTCCAATAGTCTTTTAGTGGAATCTTTTGGATATCCTAAATATAGAATCATGTCATTTCTAAATAGTGACAGTTGGACTTCCTCCACCCCAATTTGTATCCCTTTGATACATTTTCTTGCCTATTGGCTCTGGCTGAAATTTCCAGGACTATATTAAACAGCAATGGTGAGAGTGGACATCCTTGTCTGGTTCTGGATCTTAGTGGGAATGCTTCCTTGATCCATTTTGATTGGATTGTTGTGCATGGTTTAAGGTAGAGGTCTTGTTTCATACTTCTTCATGCAGAGATCCAGTTTTCCCAACACCATTTGTCAAAGAAACTAACCTTGCTCTAGGGATTGATTTTAGCCCCTTAGTCAAACTTTGGTTAGTTATAGATGCACTGGTTGATTTCTGGAGTTTCTTTTGTATTCCATTGGTCTATATGTCTGTTTTCGTGCCAATATCATGCTGTTTTGATTATAACTGTCCTGTAGTATGTCTTGAAATCTGGTATTATGATGTTTCCAACTTTGTTTCTGTTATATAAGATTGCTTCCACCCTTCAGGGTTTATTATGTTTCCAAATGCATTTTTACATTTTTTTCTATAACTGAAAAAATGCCATTGGTATTTTGATTGGGGTTGCAATGAATCTGTAAATTGCTTTCAGTAATATGACATTTTGATGATATTATTTCTTCTAATCCATGAACATGGAAGATTTTTCTACTTTTTTGTATTTATTTATTTATTTATTTATTTAATGTTTTATAATTTTAATCATAGAGATCTTTGCTGTCCTTGCTAAAATTTATTGCAAGATATTTTTTGTAGTCATTGTGAAAGGGGTTGATCTTAAAATTCCTTCACAGCCATGGCATTGTATTTGTATACAAAGGCTATTGATTTTTCTATATTGATTTTTATATCCTGCAACTTTATGAAACTCTGTTCTGAGTTCAAATAATCTCTTACTCGAGTCTTTTGGCTCCACTGTATATAGAATCATGACATCTGCAAACAGAGATAATTTGACTTTCTCCTTTCCAGTTTGTGTCCCTTCAGCTTTTTTTTTTTTTTTCTTGCCCGGTCACTCTGGCTAACACTTCTAGAACTATATTGAATAGCAGTGGCGAGAGTGGGCATTCTTGTCTCATTCTGGAACTTAGTGGGAATGCTTTCAGCTTCTCCCAATTCCATAAGATCCTGGATATGGGTTTTCATAAATTGCCTTGTTTATCTTGAGGAATGTTCCTGCTATACCCAATTTGCCTAAGTTTTTTTTTTTTTTTTTTATCATGAAAGAATGTTGAATTTTATCAAATACTTTCTCTGCATCTATTGGAATAGTCATATTTTTTATTCTTCAGTTTGTTCCTGTGATGTATTACCTTTATTGATTTGCAAATGTTGAGCCCTCCCTGCATACCAGAGGTAAATCCCACTTGGTCTGGGTGAATGATACATTTGATGAGTTGTTGTAATGATTAGATAGTATTTTGTTGAGAATTTTTGCATTTGTGTTCATCAGGAATATCGGTTAATAGTTCTCTTTCTTTGTTCTATCTTTTTCTGGTTTAGAAATTCAGGTGTTTTGGCCTCATAACTGAGTTTAGGTGGATTCTGTCCTTTCAATTATTTTTAATAGCTTGAGAAGAATTGGAATTAGTATTTCTTTAAATGTCTGGTGGAATTCAGCATTGAAGCCATCTTTTCCTGGACTTTTCTTTGTTGGGAGGGTGTTTATCACTGAATCAAACTCTATCTTTTCTATGTCTTCATGACTCAATTTTCGTAGATTGTGTGTGTCCAGGAATCAATCTATCTCTTCTAGATTTTCCAATTTGATAGCATACAGCTTTTTATAGTTCTTTTTATTTCTTGGTATCTATTGTTAAATTTCCTTTTTCATCTCTGATTTTATTGTTTCGGAACTTCCTTTTTTTTGTTAATTGGGCCAATGGTGTATAAATTTTGTTTATTTTTTCAAAAAACAGTCCTTTATTTCACTGACCTTTTGTACTTTTATCATATCAATACTGTTTATTTCTTCTCTAATTTTAATTATTTCTTTCCTCCTTCTAATTAGGTGTTTGTATTTTGTTGTTTTTGTAGGTCCTTAAGCTGCCTTGATAGTTCATTTATTTGGTACCTCTCTAACTTCTTGGTGTAGGCACCATTTGCTATAAAGTTCTCTCTTACTGCTTTATCTATATTCCATATGCTTTGATATGTTGTTTTCTTCATTTTTAATATTGCATTTTGATTCAAAATCTCAATTTCCTGGAAAAGGTCTTCATTCATGTCATTTATGGATTTCTTTAATTTGTGAATTTGCTTCTAATTGCTTCTGAGTAATTCCATGATTAATCTTTTGAGTTCTATTTCAGGTATTTCATCAAGCCCTTCATCTTCACATTTTAATATTGAAGTGTTCTTTTATTCCTTTGGGGTGTCAGGTTGTCCTATTTATTCTTTTTTGCTGAATTTCTGCATTTATTTTTTAGGCATTTGTGGAAATAATTGTTGGTTTTCTCCTTTGATGGCTTTTTTTTTTTTTTTTTAACGATACCTCCGTGGCTTAGTGGAGGGTCTGCTCTTTCAGTGAATACCCACAGGTATGTGCTGGGTGTGACCAGGTATCTCTGGTCAATGCTCCAGGTTAGATAGGGTATCCAAGGTGAAACCAAGCTGGGCATGGTAGATCTCCTCTTGTTAGCAGAATGGAGGGTATGATAACTTCTGATGGTATAATCACAATCTCACCTTCTCTTCCAAGGTGATCAGTGCCTGGTATTAGCCCACAGTGTATCCCATGAACTGTACAAATGATCTGTGTAATCCTTAATGTGAGCTTGGACAATGCTGCAATGACTTATCTCAGGTAATCAGTGAACTCTGAGCATGTGGATCAACACACAGTAATTGCCCAGAGACCCAGCTACACCCTCTACCCTGGTACGTAGTCACAGAATTTCCACAGTCTCAGCACACAAGACCCCCACAGTCATGAGGTGCAGACAATCTGCTTCACCCTCCTAGCCTGTCTGATCCATGGAGAGGCAGAGATGTTCCCCGGGGCCAGTTGCCTGTATGTCTGAGCCCTGGAGCTTGTGCTAAGTTGAGTGGCTGGGGCTACCTCACAGTCCTATGTGGGTACCCAGCCCTCTGTTAATAATCCCAGCCCAGCTCAAAGTCAGTGAGAAATGTGAAGTTTTCCTCTGGTGAAATTGGATCACAGGCATGCATAAGAACCACCAACCACAATCTCTACTCATTTCACAATATTGCCTTCTGCCTGCCAGTTACCAGGCAAGCACAAGAGCCTCTCTGCAGCTGGTAGTGATGTCAGAATGGTTCCTTCCCCAGGCCAGTTACCGGGTGAGCATACCTGAGTCGCTGCCGCATTCACTGCCGTCAATATGGCATCTTGTCCTTGCTGCTTGCTTGTTGCTATTTTCATGCATAAGAGCAGCCACAGATGCTACTTATGTCCAAAATGGCATCTGCCTTCTTGAGCCAGTTGCCAAGCATCATTGTTTGGGGGGGAATGGGGAGAGAGATATGCACTCCCCCCCTTTTTTTGCTGGATTAGTAAGTATCCTGCCCCCTTAAGGCTCCAGGTAGGATTCAAAGACAATGTAGTCCATGAGGCTCTCCCTCCAGGTATATCAGCAGTGGCAAGGGCTGCTGCATTCTGATCTCACCTTACTCTCCAAAGCTTGCACTTTCTCCAGCTCTCAGCTATTGGAGATTGTGTTAGTCTGTGCTCTTTACTGTGCATCTGCACCTTTCTCACTGTTCTGCAGCATTCCTCCATATATATATATATATATATATATGGAGGAATATATATATTCCTTCCTTATAATATCCACCACAGTTTTCTCTCCAACTTTTCCCCTAGAATGTACTTCCTCCACCTTTCTTTCTCTCTGTTCCCTCCCTCCCTTCCTTCCTTCCTTCCTTCCTTCCTTCCTTCCTTCCTTCCTTCCTTCCTTCCTTCCTTCCTACCTTCCTTCCTTTCTTCATTTTCTCCTAGCCTAAAGCAATGCATCCTTTCCACATCTTGGAATGAATTTTGCCATCTTGGAATAAATCTCTCCTTTAAAAAAAAAGATTTATTTTTTTATCTGAAAGAATTACAGAGAAAGAAAGAGAGAATATATCATCTACTGGTTCACTCCCCCAGATTAACACGACCAGCAACAAGCCAGCCCAAAGCAGAAGACAGGAATTTCTTCCAGGTCTACCATGTGGATAGGAAGGGCCCAAACACTTGGGACATCCTCTACTGCTTTTCCCAGACCATTAGCAGGGAGCTGGATCAGAAGTGGCACACCCAGGACATCAACTGGCGTCCATATGGGATTATAGCATTACAGTCAGTGCCTTTACCTACTGAGCCACAATACTGACCCTAATATTTTGTCTTTAATAGAAGCACTGGGGGACTCTCATGCCTTCTCTTTCTGTGTTAGACAGGACTATGAAGAGCTAGAAAAGCAACTGAAAGAAGTTTTTAGGGAACGAAGCACCATCCTCCGTCAGCTGACAAAGACATCAAGAGAACTGAATGGAATTAAAGTCAATCTTCAGGTGAGAGGAAAACTAATATTCTCAGCAGAAAAGAATGAGTCTTATTTGTCTCAGTGGGTTAATATGCATTATCAAAAGTTTTAAATACATTTCTCGGCTTGACCATGGTATTTATTATTTTATTATTATATAAGCTTTGAAAATATATGCCACATGAAATGCAATCTAGGAGTCTGTGGTTTTCAAATATAGGAAATTACAAATTATGAGATTGGTAAAGTGATCAACTCCAAATAGCTTCTAAGATTAATTTGATCTTTGTGTTTTTCATATAATAAGATCAGATGAAGTAATTATGTCTAAGAGTTAAATGAATATAAGAATGATGTCTAGAAGAGTATTTTAAGTTACTTCAGATGAATCTGAAGAAACTTTAATAAACCTTGTTACTGACATAGGTAAATGCTTTAGAAAGGGAGTATTTGTAAACTGTATTAGCATGGTGAAATCTCAATCAAAACAGAAAAATTCCTGTAATATCTGATGATATATTTTTCTTAAACATTTCATTTACTGAGTGACTACTATATGTAAGAAAGCCTTGCATATATGACATTATTATGTCATATATACCCTACATATCTGTAGGGTAGTTAATAATATTATGATTTTCCATGTTATATAACATGATAAATCATACTTAGAGATGATATGTTGTATACAAATATCAGAAAAGAAACCAGGGTTTTAATGCAAGTAATTTGGCTCTGGAGTCTGTATATTAATTATTGGACTATGAAGAACATGGTATCACCAGTATCCACATTCTGCTTAGTTTACTATTCCCATGAGGATGGTGCTGCTGATGGTGATGATGATGCTGATTATGCTGATGATAATGATGCTGATGCCAATATCTAATAAAGCTTAACAAGGACAATGACTTGGGTTAGGCACTTTTTCTTACTTTTCTTTTAATTTTTACCATGAATACATTACTATATATATGAATATTTAATTAGCTCATTTTATAGGTAAATAGATGGTTACAGAAAGCTTAAGAAATTTAAAGCACACATATAGTCAGGTAGCCAAGGTGACTTTTGAAGCCAATGCTGAAGTTTTCATTCAAGATGTTGCATCACATCTGGAAAATATGAATCTAAGAGGGAAGAAAATAATGTCTACAACTCAAGAGGACTCAGCCATAGGTAGCAAGATAATAATGGTGTTGGGTAATTATAGTGCTATTAGGGAAGTGTACACAGAGCATTAGGGAAATGCAGACTAGCATGGAAAAGGATGTTAATTGATTACTGTTGGAAGTCAATGTCTGTACAGAACCTTATTATTTAATTTTGCAGAATTTATTGATAAATGGAAATTTACCACATGAGTAAGACTGGAGAAAATAATCCAGTTGTACTTTCTCAAAGGCACAGAATACTTGGCACATATAATAAAATGCCCAAAAGTGGTTTGTACTTACAGTGTTACTGAAACACTGTAGCAGTAGCTTAATCCAAGATGTCTAAACACAGTCTAGAAAATTGCTTAATAAAATTTTGTAATTTCTGGGACCAGTGCTGTGGCTTAGTAGGCTAAGTTTCCGAATGTCTCTACTGCTCTTCTTCCGATTCAGCTCCCTCTGATAGCTTAGTAAAGCACTGGAGGATGGCCCACATGCTTGGGTCCCTACACCTGCATGGGAGACCTGGAAGAAGGTCCTGGCTCCTGGCTTCGCATCAATTCAGCTCTGGCCAATGCAGCCATTTTGTAAACCAGCAGATGGAAGACCTTTCTCTTGATCTCTCCCTCTCTCTTTAACTCTACCTCACAAATAAATAAATAAATCTTTTAAAAATTGTAATTTGATAAAATTCATATTTAAAAATTTTTTATTCATTTTATTTATTTGGAAGGTAAAGAGATATAGAGACAAAAAAATCCTCCATTCATTTTCACTCCTCAAATTCCACAACATTTGCCCTGGGCCAGGTGGAACCTAGGAACTAGACTATTCACCTGGATCTGCTGCATGAGTGGCAAGACCCAAGTACCTGAGCCATCCATTACCTACTGCCTCTCAGGATGCTTTAGCAGGAAGCTAGCATCAACAGCAGGGCTAAGACTCAAACCAAGCCATACCAAGTTGATATATGGTTATCCATGTAATATCTTAATCATTGTGTCAAATGTCAGCCTTCATAAAGTTGATTTTTGAAAAACAAAACAGTTAAACACATTAAAACCATTAAACACTGTTGCAATTTTTTAAATGCTTTTTATTTATTTTTGAGTCAGCCATTTGTAAAATATTTTGTTTTTTATCGTGTTAAATCTTTCCCCAAAAATTAAGATATTATATGCATTAAAAATGAGGAAACAAGATTCAAACAGGTCAAAAGAATTTCCTAAAGCCTCACATGTAATCGATGGTGATTTCACCACTCAAACTTAAAAATAAATTTTTAATATGTATATTTTTAAAATATATTTTAATGAGACCCAGCTACTCTGCTTTTAATCAAGCTTCCTGTCAATTCACTGGAGAAAGTAGAAGAAAATGGCCTTTATTACTTGAGTCCCTGTCACCCACTTGGGATACTTGAATGAAGCTCCTGGCTCCTGGCTTTGACCTGGCCCAACCATGTCTTTTGTGGGCATATTGGGAGTGAACCAGTGGATGGAGAATCAATCTTTCTCTCTTTGTCTCTCCTTTTCTATCTGTCTTTCAATCTCTTAATAATACATTTTATTTTATTTATGCATTTTGAGATAGGAGAGAGAGAGATTGGGCTAGGACAAAAGTGGGGAGCTGGATACTCAATTTAGGTCCTCAAGAATGAGTGCCTGGGACCAAATTACTTGTGCAACCACTGCAGCCTCCAAGGATCTGTGTTGGTGAGAAGCAGGTGTCAGGAGCTATAGCCAAAAATTGAACCTAGAAACTCCAGTGTGGGATGTAGATATTTCAACCACCAGGCCAAATGCCTCCTATGGTTTCAACTTTTAACATCAAACATGACAGGTTATTCTTTTAAATAAGTTATTGAGTACAAATATGCAAGATGTTAAGGATGGCTGAATGGCACAGATTTTCCTATGAGAAAAGTTCAGGGACTTTTATGTTTAATTTTCTAGTATAAGCAATAATGGCTGAGTTGGCATATGTTTGTTTCTTTATACACTATAGAGACAAATTGCAATTTTAAGTATCTCACAATTTTAAATAGCTCATTTTGTGTGTATTTGTGTGTGTCCTAAGGCATTACTCATGGTGAAAAATAACACCACACAGGTGCATGACTTTTGACCATTTTGTTCTTGGATTGTACTATTTTCTGTTGTATGCAAGAAGACTTTTCTACCCCCATGTATTTGTAGAAATGGACAGAGCTGCTTTAACATGCCTGCAGAGAATGTGGTAAAACTTCAAAGGACAAGGAAAAGATATACTTTGTATCACTTATACAGAGAAATAGATATTTGGAGAGTAATTTCTTCCCCTTTGAACATCTAAATTTTGAGATTCTTCTCAATCCCTTTCACCCACTTTGTAGCACATGCACAAATTGATGTCATAAATTCTTTTGCTTGTTCTTAGGGCCAGAGGACCATCCTGGCCTTTTTTTTGCATTCTTATCTGTGTGTAGTCAGAACTCTGTAATATAGGCCAAAAACAAAGTGAGCCTCAATTTTTCACATGAATAAAACTTCCTTTTCCTGCTTTTCTTACCAGTCTTTAAAAAATGATGAGCAATCTGCCAAAACTGATGTTCAGAAGCTTCTGGAATTAGGCCTGAAGCAAAGGTAAGATTCAATTTTTCTTTTTGTCTTCTCAGTTTTTGTTGTTAGAGTATCAAATTCTATTCAGAAACTCCACTAGAATCGGTTTATTCCAAGTGTACGGGCTTATTATGTTCTTACACTTGAATGTACATATGAATCACTTGTAAAATCTTGAGCAATTGCAAACTATTGCACAGTAACTGGGGTGAGGCTCTGCATTTATACCAAGTTCCTTGCTGTTGGTGATGTTGCTGTTCCCTGAAGAACACAATTTAAGGGTCAAGGATGTGTATCATTTCTTGTTAGTAAGGTGAATCCTGATACTTCTGTCCCTCAACAGACCAGACACTTCTGATGTCAGTGGACCATGTTTAATAAGATCAAAACTTGATTATTGTGATAAATGGTAAGGAATGGAGTAATCTTGTAAGTAACACAAATACAATATCATTAGCCCTGGTTGGTTTATTTACAGGAGTCTATAATATGAGATTAATTTCTGTGGATTGCAAAAAGCTATATGATTATGAAATTGCTTCTCAAAGCAAAACAAAGGACAAAAAGGTTATCTTAAAGTAGAAACTGATAGTGTTATACATTTACAATAGACTCATCTACACACTTCACATATATTTTGCTTCATTCATATAACTTCTTTGTAAAGTAGATGACATTATTCCAATTTGATAGGAAATTGTTGCTCAGAGTATTTAACTGGATTACTAGAAGACATGCTAATTGGGCTTAGATTTAAAATCTTTTATCCAGTAGTCATATTCTTCTACACTGGCTCACAACAAGAAACACCAAAAAAGATATTAAAATGTTTATATTCAAATTGGAGTGCTGGGTTTGAGTCCCAACTTCTCTTTTGATTCTATCTTCCTGCTGATGCATCCAGCAGATGGTGGCTCAAGTGCATGAATCTGTCATTCTTGTGGGATACCAGTGCTGAGATCACGGCTCCTGGGCTCAACATGGCCCAGCTTCTATTTGCTGGTTCACTTCTCAAAAGCCTTCAGTGATCAACGTTGGACAGGGGCTGAATTCAGGGGCCAGGAATGAAATCCAGGTCTCCCATGCAGGCGGGAAGAACCTAGTCACTTGAGCCATCTCTTTGCTTCCCAAGATCTGCATTTGCAGCAATGTGCAATCAGTAGCTGAAAAATGAACCCAGGTATTTCAATGGTAGACACAGTCTTAATCAGTAGGCTGAATGCTAACACTTGAAGTTGCCTCTTGGCCAGAAGCCTATCACTGGCATACATTTATTTTGTATTGTTTTATATTTACTTATTTATTTAAGAGGCAGAGAGAAAGCTGAGAATCAGAAAATGAACGTTCAATCCAAGTCTTCCATAGGGGTGAGAGTGACTCAACTACTTGAGCCATCATCTGCTGCTTTGTAGAGTTTGCAATAGTATGAATACAGAATTGGGAGTGGAGATAAGACACATCTTGACACTCTAACATGGGATATGAGTGCCCTATCCAGGGTCTTAACTGCTAGGCCAAACATCTACCCCCATACACATTTGGGTTGAAATGATGACAACAGTGAAACGATGAAATAAAGTATGTTGGCTTATATACAGTGACATGTTTATTATCATCAAAACATGAATTTATTTTCAAAAGCAAACTTTACAAAGAGCTTGAATAAAATATCTATTTGAACATTTCCAAAAGTATGTTATTTAAACTACTTTATTGGTTTGAAATAAACACCTCTTAAAATAAATATATACGGGGTCAGTGCCGTGGCGCACTAGGTTAATCCTTCACCTATGATGCTGGCATCCCATATGGGCGCCAGTTCTAGTATCTGCTGCTCCTCTTCTGATCCAGCTATTGGCTATGGCCTGATGCGGGCTTGACATACAAAGCCCACGCACTGTCGGAATGCCACGCACTGTGAGTGGCAGGATCCCCACTACTGGCAGCATCATATGCTTTGTCCTTGGGTGCAGGTAATCAAGAATATGAATGAGAAGCAAAAGCTGGACATGATTAGAGATGTGAACATTCCAAGCAGAGGCTTAATTGCGCAGCACTGCAGCACTTGGCCCATGGAAGAAGTCACTCAATAAAAAACGAAATAAAACTGATGTTTTCTTATTGTAGTTTAAAAGTTTTGTCCAAATCAAAAAAAAAAAAAAAACATATCCACAACATGTATTATATGTGCTAAGTCAGAATGCAAAACTCAATTTTTTATTTAATAAATATAAATTTCGAAAGTACAACTTTTGGATTATAGTGGTTTTTCCCTCCTTAACCACCCTCCCATGCACAATACGTTTTTACAACAATTTCTCAAAAGAATATATTTGGTGTATTCATTTTTGTTGTTTACTTAAAGGAGAAATATTAAAAAATCATACTTACATGAGTGTGAAGCAGACTGAGTATTTAATTTCCAAATATAGAGACATGAATAAACAGCAAAAGAAAATATATCATCTTTGATTATGAAAAATATGAATTGATCATAAATTTGGAAGTCTTATCTGAGTCTGAAAGAAAGTGATGTGTAGTAGATATCCTGTGGCTACTCCTGGGTCTCAATTCCTCTCTTGATTTTGAGAACCCTTGTTCTCAGATCCTTGCCATCTGATCTTGACCTAGATTAGAAGTCCCTGGGTGAACCAACGGCAAAAGGAAGAAGACCTTTCTCTCTCTCTCTCTCTCTCTCTCACTGTCCACTCTGCCTGTCAAAAAAAAAAAAAAAAGTCCCTGGAAACCATTTGTCTTTCATCAGCACTACAGTCATGAATTCAGTTAATTAGCTTAGAGATGGCCACCAAAGCAATACTCAATCAGTTGGAGTTTTTCCCTTGAAATTGTAACGAAGATACAACTAATCAGTGTTAGTATAGCTGCCACTAGAAGGCAAGTAAACAGGATATAGAGTTGGCACATAAAGCCATATGTAAAGTTAAGCAGAGAGAGTTTATGCAAAGAGAAAAAAAGAGGGATGTGTGTGAGAAAGAAGAGAGAGAGGAAGAGAAGAGAAGAGATTTAAGAGAGATTGAAAGTTGGGTTGAATTGTGACTGTTAATTTTTATGAAGTAGTTAGACTGTTAGATAATATAGATAATATAGGAAATTTCAGTTGGTGGATAGATTTTAAATTATAACATGTAGAGGGTAAGTTGTTGCAGTCATGAATAGTTCACTTGGGAACCCTGATATGTCTGCAAGGTTATCTTTAGAAAAATAAGAATAAATAATTTTATTTTCTATGGTGCTGTTGAGTCAATATTCCTGGAAGGCAATTTTTGATTCAGTGTAGTCAATGATGTTATAATAATATTTTCTGAAAACTAAAATACTGCCAGGAGTAGCAGCAAGTTCTCCATCTGTGATGTTATTAAAATAAAACCAATAATCTCTTATAAGATATGTCTTCTTGTAGAGTGATTTTGATGACTGTGCTTCATGTTTTTAATTCGGAATGGACGATTGTCAAATCGTTGCCATTTAAGATTTCTTGTAACTGAAAATTCTGTGATAAAATATATCAACATCCAAGAAATCTAACAGGAGTGTCACTGGAGGAGTAAGTTCTTTAGAATTAAATCTTGAGTTTAGGACCAATTAGGATGGTAGAGCATTTTGTGCGAGCGAGCAAATAGTTTAGGCTCACCCCAGATCATGGTAGAAGTGGTGCAGAAACAAGTCGGGAAACATCTCCCACATTAGGATCACCTTGCAAGTCTGTGAAGCAAAATTTTTAGATGAACTATACATGACAACAATGAACGTGCAAAGGAAGAATCTAGGAAGACAAAAATGGAAATATTATTCAGAAAAGAAAAATTGTAGTTTGCCATTTTTCCGGATAGCTTTCCTTGGCATAAAAATGTGAAGAATTTTCTATCTTCTCCAGATTTTTTTTAACAGACTTTAGTTTCTTTTTTGTATTGAACCCTACATTTCCTCTAGATGTCAGCATGAGAATTTTCAAAAACACACAAATACACACACACACTCCTAAACACAAGAGCATAGTTCAAAACTTTTGTGGGAAATAGAATAAAAAAGATGTTTATTTTGGTGCAAGAATTATTAAAATTCATTCATAGTTTATCTGTCTACCTAATTATCTATGGACAAATAAGAATTGTATGTATTTATTGGGTACCATGCTATATTTTGATTGTAATGCCTAGTCACAGTAAGTATATAAATCTCTTCAATCATTTAAGATTTTTCATTGTGAAATATTTAAAATCTTTATTTCTAGAATTTTTAGAGACATATACAATACTATGTTTATCTTTAATAATCTCACTGTACGATAGAATAGCAGAATTTCTTACTTCCATCTAACCATAATTTAGTACTACTTTTCTTTTTTAAGATTGAATTATTTATTTGAGAGAGTTACAGGCAGAGAGCGGGAGAAACAGAGAGACAGAGAACTTCCATCTGCTGGTTCACTGCCCAAAGGTTGCAACAGCTGGAGCTGGGCCATTCTGAAGCCAGGATCCAGGAACTTCTTCCATGTCTCCCATGCAGGTGCAGCGGCCCAGGCACTTGGCCATCTTGCACTGCCTTTCTCAGGCCATAAGTAGAGAGTCGGACAGAAGTGGAGAAGTTGGGACATGAATTGGTGCCCATATGGGATGCTCCACAGGCGGAGGCTTAACTTACTACACCACAGCTCAGGCCCAATTAGTACCAGTTTAAACTTTCACCTTCTCACCCTCATCCCTAAATTCCTAGTCTTTGGTAACAACCATTATACTCTCAACTTTCATGAGATCAAGCTCCTTAGATTCCACATTTGAGTAAATTCACATAGTATTTGTATTTCTGTGCCTGCATTATTTCCCTTTACACAATGCTCCCTAGTTTTCATCAGTGTCGCAAATGCCAAGATTTTATCAATTTTTATGATTGAAAAGATTTCTGTTGCATTTATGTAATGTATTTTTGTTATCCATTCATCAAATGATAGAAACTTAGGTTCTTTCTCTCTCTTGACAGTTGTGAGTAGATATGCAATAAAACTGTTCTTAACGGTATAATTTCATTTCCCCTAAAAATACCTACTGGATCATATGGTAGCTATATTTCTAGATTTTGAGGAGTCTTCATATTAGTTTTCTCAGTGGCTGTACCAATTTACATTTCCACTCAAATTTTCCTTTTTGCCAACTTTGGCCAGCATTTTTTTTCTCCCTCCCTCCCTCCCTTCCTTCCTTCTTTTTTTTCTTTTCTTAAAAGACTTATTTATTTGAAAGGCAGAGCTACAGAGAGGCAGAGGGAGAGAGAGAGAGAGAGAGGTCTTTCATCCACTGGTTCACTCCCCAAATAGCCATAATGGTCACAGCTGAGCCAATCTGAAGCCAGGAGCCAAGAGCTTCTTCAATGTCTCCCATGTGGGTGTAGGGGTCCTTGGGCCATTTTCTACTGCTTTCCCAGGTCACAGCAAAGAGTTGGATTGGAAGCAGAGAAGCTGGGTCTTGAACCAGCAGCATATGGGATGCAGACATTGCAGACAGCAGCTTTACCCACTATACCACAGTGTTGTTTGGCCAGAATTTATTAACTATTATTTTTGTGATAATAGTCAATCAAATAGGACTGTAGTGATACCTCATGGATTTGATTTATATTTCTTTTACAATTAGTGATGTTGAGCATGTTTTCATGTACCTGCTAGTCATTTGTATGAGAAATGAAGAATGTCAGTTTGGACCTACTGCTCATTTATTTTTGTATTAAATTATTTTATTAACAATAATTACAAGTTTATGAGGTACAATGTAACATTTCTTTTTTCTTTGTGCTTATAAAATAATTTTTAAAATTTATTTTAAGGTTTAACAATGTTTAAGATTTTGCCATATTCACTTAATATGCAGTTATTATACAGATACATACATACTATTTTTTTCTTGAAAATGTACATATTAATATCACACAATTTGAGATTCATGACAATGTTCATAAAATGGGGAAAGAAGAGTATATTGTCAAGTAGATAGTATAATTCTGTGAAGACAGTGTTCGTAACTATAATAATATGACATCAACAAAATTTTTATTCTCTCTCTATATAAAGACACACCTTCACCCCCATGTTTATAGCAGCCCAATTCACATTAGCGAAGATAAATAATCAACCTAGATATCCATAAATGATGACTGGATAAAGAAAATATGGTATATCTACACAATGGAATCTTGCCCAGCCACAAAATAACAATGAAATATTAACATTCCAACAAAACGGATGGAGAGCAGGATGTTTTTAATTTAATTTTTCAATATTAAGTTGTTGTAGTTTGTTATATATTCTAATTATTAACTCCTGGTCAGATGTATAGATTGCAAATATTTTCTCCTATTCCGTAGACTTTTTCTTCACATTGTTGATAATTTCCTTTATTGTGTAAAAGGTCTGTAGTTTAATGAAATCCTATTTGTGTATTTTTGCTTTTGTTTGCTATACTTTTGAGAGCTTATCCAAAATATCCTTTCCCACTTCGATATCCAGAAGCATTTCCAATGTTTTTCTTCCCATTGTTTCAAAGTATCCTGATTTTATAATGAGGTTTTTAATCTATTTTCAGTAACTATGATACGTGGTGAGAGATAGAGGTCTACTTTCTTACTTCTTCATGTGGATATGCAATTTCCCCAGCACCATTTATTGAAAAGGCTATCCATTTTTCAATGCATGTTATTAGCATGTTTGTCAAAGATCAATTGGCTGTAGATGTATGGGTTTAGTTCCAGGGTCTCTGTTATGTTCCGTTGATCTGTGTGTTTACTCTTATGCTAATAAGATATTTTAATTGCTATTTCTTTTGGTTATATTTTAAACCCAGGTAGTATAATGCCCCTTGCCTTGTTCTTTATGTTCAAGATTGCTTTGGATGGTCTTAATATTCATTTTCCATGAACTCTCTGCAAACTTCTCCTGTGTGTGTGTGAGGCTGGGCTTGTGTGTACTTATTTTATAAAGTATATTTTTATAATTTCTTCTTGTTAACTTTTATGTCTATCATTTAAAAATAAAAATGAGCATTTTAAAATTGAAAACATGAAAATCACAATAATTATAGCTTTTTTCAGCTGGAAATATATTATATATATAATACATAAATTATCTTTTTTCTCTCTGTCCATTAGAATGGATAGTATAATGACTGTAGTGTCCGAGAGTGTCTAGAGCACAATTACACCACCTCTGTTGACAATGGCTTCCTATCTGTCCTAAGAAGGCATACTTTAATGTGTGACATTTAAGAGTCTTCCACATTACAGGACTAAAAATTATGTAAAGACTGATATCACACTATGTTATTCCATGGGTCTCTTTGAAGAAAACAAATTTGAAGCAAAAATCCACATTAAGAGTCAACAATGTGGCACAATAGCTAAACTGCCCTGTATAATGCTGGCATTTCATATCACAGTGCCTATTAGATTCTGGGGTGCTCTTGTTCTAATCCAGTTTCCTGATAAGAAGCCTGGGAACAAAGCAGAAATGGCCCAAATGCTTGGGACCTTGGCACCCACATCAGAGTCTAGGATAGTGTTCCTCACTTCTGGGTTTGGCCTGGCACAGCCTTTCCTTGTGTTGTGGCCATTTGGGGAATGGAATACCTCTCTCTCACTTTCTCTCTCTCTCTCTCTCTCTCTCTCTCTCTCTCTCTCATTCTTTCTGTTACTCTGGCTTTCAAATAAATAACAAAATTAAATAAATCTCTGAAATTCATGCAGTAATAATGATAACAGCACACACACACATACACACAGTTTCTGTTATCTTCAGCGAATCATGACAAAAAATTCTGCCGCAGGTTAAACCATGTTATTGCATCATCAGGCAAGCATAAATCATCACAGCACCAAAGTGACGTTAATTATTTTGTAATTTATTCTGATAATATTTTTACCTGTTGAACAAGGTTCAAAGTGATTCCAACAAATATGGATTGTCTCCCATTCTTGAAATGTGTACTTAGAATAATGTTTTCTAGTGTAGGATATCAGATGAGATTGGGTACATTCAGGGTGGTATGGATATCCAGGAAAATTATCCAGTCTCCTTGGATGGAATAGCAGCTGTGGTTTGTTGGATGTAATGGGCAAAGAATGCTCATGAGGGCCTAGAATGGTGCTGGTGTATGTAACAAAGATCTAGCATTTTGTTACAAACTTCTTTGCATCCATCACGCTCTGTACTTTCCATTCATGATATCACCTACAAGTGCCCATATACCCAAAAGGTAACTGTCACTACGCCCATTTTGTAGATGAATACACTGAGCTTTAGAGGGTTTATCATTTGTCCATGTTTCCAGGGCTAGTCTTTTGGTATCAAATTTGGAATTTTGTACTAGTTTGAGTGTCTTGTTGCTGCTGTTTGAGAGTGTTTTTCTATAAATAATTAATGCACGCACACACACAGACACACACATACCATGCACATGCCCCAGCCATTGTCTAATATTAGATTCACTTGAAATGATAGATTATTTGGTAAAATTTAGCCACAGAAAGACAATATGACTTGACATGAATGTTTACAAACCAAAATCTCATTTAAGACTGCAAATGTTTGGAAATATTTTAATTTTTAAAAAAAGAGACAGAGTTTATATGTATCAGCAAGCATGAGACAAAATGTGAATATATGCCTAGGCATACATTTCCCTGTTACACCCATTAAGCATGTCAACATCAAATTTGAAATAAGTCTTTTTCCCTTTTGTTTTTACAGAAACACTCAGGCTTTATGAAGGGATGTCTAAAGCACAATACTTTAGAATTAATCAATTAGGAACAGCAGAAGGGAACTGTAATTTTATCCTATCAGCAAGTGTAGGGTGACTTTTTCTAAACAGCATGCTCACACCCTGGCATGCTCTCAGTGAAATTAGCTTTTCAACTCAATTTATTATATTGATTTGATTTAGCACATTATGCAGGTCACAGATGATTCACACAGTGGGATTCTTATAAAACATAATAGCAGGTCAATCTCCTTTAAATACAGCTTCCTTTTAGCTATTTTTATGGGAGAGAAAGCCCTTTATTACCAGAATCCCTGGATACATTGTATGCTTAGTTGTGGCTTTATGCAATTCAAGTTGTCTGTTTGCTAAATGTAAGTAGATAGCAAAACCTCCTCTCATAATAGACATAGGAAATGACAAAATCATATTATATTCTGTTTTGCTCTCTGTTTTCTCCTAAACTAGAGAAGAAATGAAGTCTCTTCAGGAGGCCCTGCAAAATCAACTTAAAGAGACATCCGAGAAAGCAGAAAAACATCAGGCCACTGTAAGTATGTTTCTTATTTGTGCCCTTGCTTTAGTGGTTGAAAATTGTCACTTTCCTTTTCAAAAGTGACTATGGAACAAACCAACCTTTAAAAAGCAAAAGAGAAAAATACAATAAAAAGAAGCTTAAGTCAATGTGATTAGAATAATACCTTCGCATCGTTCATTCAAAGAAACAATTAATACTAGATTTGATTCTTAGGAGTCGTCTAATTCCCAACTTTCCTTTGTGATTGACAAGCCAAGGAGAGAGAAGGGCAAGGATCTTGAGTACAGCCCCAGATTCATGGTTCTTGGACTAGGGAATGAAACTGACCCTAGAGTAATCTGAGAAACTGTATAGAATCACAAGCCACATTGCATAGTCACCGAATAGGAATCTCTCAGAAGCAGGACCTGTTTCCTCAGCCCCTTAGGTGTTATTAATACACCCCAAAGTTTACAACATACTGCTCTGCAGACCTTTATCTCTCTAAATAATGTTCCCTTGGACCACACACTTCAGCTCTTATGCTTCCTTTTCAATAAGGAAAGGAGGGATGGTGCTCCTGAGGGCAGTGCTGAAAACTATTTCTACCTTATTTCTAAGACTCCCCTTGATCATCATTGGGCATAAGCCATATGTATTTATTTCTAGGGACTAATCTGTTTTGAATATATATTCACAGAAAACTCAAGGCTTAATAAGGCCAACAGATCAAGAAATGACTACCATTGCAAAGGTAGCTCATTTCTCATAGTTCCCAGAGAGGTGACGTGGCCATGCCCCTGGCCAGATCAGGAAACACTGGGGCTTGTCACTAGGCTGAGGGATAGGTGGACACTGTGGGCCTCAGTCTTTATTGTGTTTTCTGAGTCAAGGAGAGGGTGAAGCAGGGCAAAGAAACAGGATGGCCAGTTTGAATGATTTCAATGGGGACTGGGAAATATGGGCTCCCCTAATGATGAGTGCCCAGCCCTGATGTGATTCACACAAATTCAGAGTTGCATGGAACGTGAGAGCCAGGTCAAAGGGGTAGTTAAGCATGTTACTCCTGAATTGGTTGATCTGTATTTTAAAAGCATGGTCCCATGATTGGGACTGCTCCTTAGGGATTCGGGCAGAAATGAGGGAGGCAGGAGGGCAAGGCATATAACTCAATCATATTTTGGTTTATCCCCAAATAAATTAGTCCAGCACTTGCATGGAAGTCAAACCTTGATTTGTATACCCCTGTGGATAAAGTATCCAATTCACATATCTACAAACATGGGTAATGCTGGATCTGCACCAGGGTCAGTTACCTGGGTCTCTCAACTCTTTAAATAAAAACTGTCAATAAGAGGCTGGCGCTGTGGCATAGCAGGTAAAGCCACTGCCTGCAGTGCCAGCATCCTGTATGGGTGCTGGTTTGAGTCCTGATAGCTCCACTTCTGATCCAGCTCCCTGCCTGGGAAAGTACCAGAAGATGGCCCAAGTCCTTAGGGCCCTGCACCCAGTTGGGAATCCTAGAAGAAGTTCCAGACTCTTGGCTTCAGATTGTCCCAGCCCCAGCTGTTGTGGCCATTTGGGCAGTAAACCAGTGGATTGAAGACCTTTCTGTCTCTCCCTCTCCCTGTTTGTAACTCTAACTCTGAAATAAATAAATATTTTTTTTAAAAAAGTCATTTTGTTTATTTCTCTCTGTATCTACCTCCCTGTAACTCTGTCTTTGCCTTTCAAAGAAATAAATAAATGTTTTAAAAATATTGTCAATATACTTTTGATTGCAAGACTCCTTTTTTTAAAGATTTATTTTATTTATTTGAAAGATAGAGTTACAGAGAGGGGTAGAGATGGAGAGAGAGGTCTTCCATCCTCTGGTTCACTCCACAAATGGCTGCAATGGCCAGAGCTACGCCAGTTCCAAATCCAGGAGCCAAGAGCTTCTTCCAGGTCTCCCACATGGGTGCAGGGGCCCAAGGACTTGGGCAATTCTCTACTGCTTTCTCAGGATATAGCAGAGAGCTAGATCGGAAGTGGAGCAGCCAGGACTCAAACTGGTGCCCATACGGGATGCCCACGCTTCAGGCCAAGGCTTTAACCCACTGGGCAACAGCGCCGGCCCCTTGCCAGACTCCTTTTAACAACCTTAATTAGATTATGGAATTTTGTTTTGTTTCATTTTCTGAAATTCAGCTCAGTTTATCATCTGGGACATGATTCCTGGAGAAAATTTTTCTAATAATGATTGTTGACTTTCTTAGGTTCAGGGTTTTTCCTGCTAAGGATTCACCATTACCTGTTCTGCCCGTCTGTAAAGGCATGCATATTGGCTCTTCACTGCTATGTCACCACAACACACAGTGTTCCTTTGCAATGAGACCAGGGGTGTAGCTTTCTGGACTCCAAATTTTACTTATAATGATAGACAAATTTTGAATACTGGCAGGTTGATCATTTTGACATCTAAATTACAAATCAGCTTCGTTACAAATCCACTTCAGCTTTGACTGATCACATTTAATCTCATCACATTTTTATCTATCTATCTATCTATCTGATATATCTACAGCCTGATGACAAATGATGGCATTTAGAGAAAAATAGAAATAATCACAATATCATTTTCTCAGATCCTCACAATAAAGCTACATTTATTTATTGTTTCTTTGCTGTATTGAGTACTAGTTTCTCCATTTCTATTCCAGCCTCCAGTTAAAGCACCCAGAAAAGTAGCAGACAATAATCTAAGCAGCCCATGTCTGAGACCCAGTTGGAATTCCTGGACCCTGCCTTTGAACTGTTGCAGCCCTGACTATTGTGGCCATTTAGAGAGTGTACTAGCAGATGGAAGATCTTTCATTACTTTCTATCACCTGTCTTTTATGTTTTTGTGTGTTTACCTCTCTCTCTGTGTGATGACAGAAACTTTAACAAATGTAGAAATGATATAAATGCATACACACTTATATACATATGTGTATATATGTAGGTACATAAATACTCTAATGTATTGAAAATATAAATTATAACCATTTAAAATTTTCATGTTCATCCAGAAGAATTTAGGGGAAGACCATTTTCTTATCACAGAAGTCATCAAATACAAACTTTCATACTTTCATAAAAATTCAAACAGAAAGCTCTTCAGTTTTTCTTTGTATCTAAAGATTGTAAGTTAACTAAGTTCTAAATAAATTTACTTATTTATTTATTTGAAGGGCAGAGTTACAGAGAGAGAGAGAAAGAGAGAGAGAGAGACAGAGAGAGAGAGAGAGATCTTCCACTCACTTGTTCACTCCCCATATGGAAAAAAAGGCTGGGGCCAGCCATGCTGAAACCAGGAGTCTGGAGCATTATCCAGGTCTCCCACATGGATTCGGAGGTCCAAGCACTTGAGCCATCATTTGCTGCTTTCCAAGATGCATTAGCAGGGAGCTGGATTGTAAGTGGAGCAGACAGGACGTGATCTTGCGCCCATATGTGATACTCTCATTTCCAGTAATGGCTTAACACACTGTGTCACAAAGCTAGTCCCGTAATTGTGTGTGTGTGTGTGTGTGTGTGTATAAACAACATATACGATATATTATATATTATACATATTATATAATATAGTATATTAAATATATATTATGTATTATATCATATATAATTTATATAAACAATAAATAAATAAATGTATACACACAAATATATATATATTTGCTTTTAGATTTATTTATTTTACTTGAAAGTCAGAGTTGCACAATGAGAAAAGGAGAGGCAGAGAGAGAGAGAGAAAGAAAGGTCTTCCATCTGCTGCTTCACTCCCCAAATGACTGCAATGGCCAGAGCTGCGCTGATCTGAAGCCAGGAGCTTCTTCTGGGTCTCCCACATGGGTTCAGGGGCCCAAGGACTCAAACCATCTTCCACTGCTTTCCCAGGCCATAGCAGAGAGTTGGATTGGAAGTAGAGCATCCGGGACTAGAATCAGCACCCACATGGGATGCTGGTACTGCAGGTGGCGGCTTCACTTGCTATGCCACATCACCAGCCCCATTTGCTATATATTTTTAAGATTTTTTAAATTGTAAATCACTCACTAGTTACTTTTCCTACTGGCGCGACTATGGTTGTAATCATAGGTTGGATAAGAAAGGAAGATTATGATAATTGTAATTTCTGTCTCTAAACTAGGAAGACAATTTTGGATTTGATTCTAAAATATTGTACTATATTAGGTGTAGGTGCAGATAATCTCATGCTCTGCTCTTTATTATATATCTCAGTAGTAAGTCATTTCCCATAAAAATGAAAGATTGTATGCTTTATGCAAATGATGTGACAAATAAAGAACCTGGTAAATGCAAAGTAAAATGCTGTGAAGCATAAAGATGATTTTCTTATTAAATTACAAGATTGCAAAAGGAGATTCAATCCTGAAAATTAAATTTATTACCTTTTCAAGTCACATCTTTTTTCATCTAATTCTGTAAGCATACTCTTTATGAAAGCCTGAAAATTTCTTTTTATTATTGAGCAAATACTAGAATAACAAATTTTTCAAACCTTTGATTCTTATGGAAAACCAGACACAGCAAGGAAGAATAAACTCTCAAATGTACGTAGGACAATTAAAGTTATTAATGGTGCTTGGTTGCATTTCATTACTCTTGTTAACTTTTATGGCTTAACTTCTCCTAAGTGTGACATAATTAGGCGAAAGCAAGACATACCTTCAAGCTTTTACTCCCATTAAAAATAAAGAATTACTTTGGCCCCTCCATTCATTATTCAAAGTAAATACGTCTACAAGTATTTGCAAAGTCAATATCAATAGTAGTTTCTGTCCCTGAGAATTATTTCATAACTGTCTGCTAGAAATGGTTACTTCTCCAGCAATATTAAAACCTGCTGGGATTCTGAACCATTGTTTTCAAAATTCCAATATTTTTAAACAATTCTGGATACATTTTAGATCCTCAATATTTACAAAGTGCATTTTCAAGATTTTTCTATCCCTATTTAACATTGAAGTAATATAGTTTTTGCATTCCACTATATTTTCATTATACGCTTAATTAATGGTAATTTTAAATTATAATTAAAATATTGAACAGTATCAATATGTGAGGATTTAGAAAAATAATATTATCAGTACAAGAAGAGGTTATTAACATAAGTGAAATACGTTCAAGTAATTCAGGACTTAAAGAAAAATGTGTAGAGGCTTGTGCTGTGGCATAGCAGATTAAGCCACTGCTTGTAGTGCCAGCATTTTATATGTGAGCTGATTCGAGTTCCCACTGCTCCCCTTCTGATATCATGTGCTGCTAATGGGCCTGGGAAAGCAGCAGAAGATGGCCCAAGTGCTTGGGGCTCTGCACCCTTGTGGGAGAGCCGGATGAAGCTTTTGGCTCCTGACTTCAGCTTGGCCCAGTCTATGCTGTTGCAGCCATTTGTGGAGTGAACCAACGATGGAAGACCTCTCTTTCTGTCTTTCCATCTCTCTCTTTGGAACTTGAACTTTCAAATTAAAAAAAAAAATAAAAATCTTTAATATATCAAAATTGTCTTGTTAATAAAGTTCTTAGATAGAAAAGGGTATAAAGGGCTGGCACCATGGCTCACTAGGTTAATCCTCTGCCTGTGGTGCCAGCATCCCATATGGGCACCAGGTTCTAGTCTTGGTTGCTCCTCTTCCAGTGCAGCTCTTTGCTGTGGCCCGGGAGGGCAGTAGAGGATGGCCCAAGTGCTTGGGCCCTGCACCCGCATGGGAGACCAGGAAGACGCACCTGGCTCCTGGCTTCAGATCAGCGCAGCCCCGGCCGTGGTGGCCATTTGGGGAGTGAATCAACAGAAGGAAGACCTTTCTCTCTCTCTCTCTCTCTCTCTCTCTCTCTCTCTCTCTCATTGTCTAACTCTACCTGTCAAATAAATTTAAAAAAAAGAAAGAAAAGAAAAGGGTGTAAAGTCTTTATTTGGAAGTACACTATTGTTTTGCATATATATATATATATATATATATATACATATATATATATATTCTGCATGGCCTCAAGTCACTCAGTAATTCCTTTGCTTTATCAAACTGAACTATCTACCTAATTGGTCAATAATTATGACCAATTTTTTGGATGCCTGTCAGTATCTTTATAGTACAAACCCCATGAGAGTATTATAGGCTTCGAGTTTCTCCTATTTTTTATGTAAGCCAGAGAGGAGTGGATATTAAGAGTCATCATAAAACTTTTAATGGAACTTTATAGAAAGCCAAGTCCAAGACTTAACATGGATAAGACCATTTGGTGCTGCTAGAAATATTGCAGCTTATGAAGATAACAGATACAGGAGTACATGGATTTTTATTCATATATTCCTGCCCTTCAACTAGCTCTTCACATACCTACTTCATCTATCTCTACAAAAATCATTCCTCTGCTTATTCATTAGCCTCAGCTTTGACTCACAGAATCCTTTATCTGTCTCAGTTGCAAACTCACTAATAATTTCTACGTATCCTAGTTCAAATCTACTAGAAAAATCTAATAGATACAGACCATGTTTCAGAATGAGAATTTTGAGTTATATTTCTTCTTTGCTCTGGAATGGCCATATCCAATGGCTCGGAAGAGGTGGTAATGAGAGAAACGGTGAAAGGGTTGATTGTAGATGGCAAAGCTACATCGCAGCCATGGGAAAGAAAAATGAACATGGATCTTATTTAAACTACTGTATTAGGAGTATATAAGTTACACTAATTTAGTTTACCTTGATTAATTCAGTAATTTGTATCTTCAACTGTGATTACTACCATAACAATATACCAAATACAACAAACTAACTGTTGTAGCATATGAACATGGATTAACCTCAGAAACTTAAACTTGAGTTTCAAATAATCTCTATAAACTTTATGACAAAGAATAGTATGTATTTGCTTTTTAATGAAAATGGACAATAAGTAAAATGTACAAAATATATATAAGACTAATATACTTCAGGATTGTGTTTATCTCTGGGGAGAGGAAAGGTGGGGCTTTAATAGCATGGATAGGGGCTACTGCATGGTGCAGTGAATGAAGTCATAGTCTGCAGTGCTGGCATTCCATATGGGTTCTGATTCGAGTCCTGGCTGCTCCACTTTTGATCCAGCTCCCTGCTAATGCACCTGGGACACGAGAAGAGGATGAGCCAAGGCCCTAGGCCCCTGCACCAACTTCAGAAACCAGAAGAATCTCCAGCCTCTTGGATCTGGCTTGCCCTAGCCCAATCATTGCAATCACTTGGAGAGTTTACCAGCAGAATCTCTCTCTGTCTGTCTCTCTTTGTCTATCCTCTCTCTTTAAATCTGTATCTAAAATAAATAAAAATATTTTTAAAAAAATCACATTAACACAATAAAATACATAATGAAGAAAGAGTATGCATAATATTATCTTTATGAAAAGGTCTGAAAACAGTTGAAGAGTGTGTCTAATCTTAGAGATGTTCCTTTAGATATTTCACATATTACCTTTTTGTGTGCAAAATTTAAGAAGGGCACATTATCTTTTTTATTTGCTAGCTTTTTTTCTTTTCAACTTTTATTTAATAAATTTCCAAAGTACAACTTTTGAATTATAGAAGATTTTCCCCTCAAACCTCCCTCCCACCTGCAACCATCCCATCTCCTACTCCCTCTCCCATCCCATTCTTCATCATGATTCCTTTTCAATTATCTTTATATACAGAAGATCAACTTAGTATATACTAAGTAAAGATTTCAACAGACTGCACCCACACAGACAAGGTATAGAGTACTGTTTGAGTAGTAGTATTACCATTAATTCACATAGTACAACACATTAAGGACAGAGGTCCTACATGGGAAGCAGTTGCACAGTGACTCCTGTTGTTGATTTAGCAGTTGACAATCTTATTTATTATGTCAGTAATCACCATAGGCTCTTGTCATGAGCTACCAAAGCTATGGAAGCCTCTTGAGTTCACCAACTCCGATCTTATTTAGACAAGGTCATAGTCAAAGTGGAAGTTCTCTCCTCCCTTCAGAGGAAGGTACTGCTTTCTTTGAAGGCCTGTTGTTTCTGCTGGGATCTCACTCAAAGATCTTTCATTTAGGTCATTTTTTTGCGACAATATCTTGGCTTTCCATGCCTGCAAAACTCTCTTGGGCTTTTTAGCTGGATCCGAATGCCTTGAGGGTTGATTCTGAGGCCAGAGTGCTGTTTAGGGCTTTTGCCATTCTATGAGTCTGTTGTGTATCCTGCTGCCCATGTAGGATCATTCTCTCCTTTTTAATTCTATCAATTATTTGCAGACACTGAACTTATTATGTCATCCCTTTGACACTTAATCCTATCTTTTTGATCAATTATGAACTTAAACTGATCACTTTAACTAGTGAGATGGCATTGGTACATGCCATCTTGATGGGATTGAATTGAAATCCCCTGGCACATTTCTAGCTCTATCACTAGGGGTAAGTCCAGGTGAGCATGAAGGACACATTATCTTAAAACTATATCTATGGTGACGATTAATCTTCCTAACCTGATTTCCAATCCTATGACTCAGACTATCTCTAGAGAAAAATGCACATTCTATCTTTCTTTCCATCATTCCAGGACTCTTCTACTACTATATTGTCCAATATGTAAAGCTTCAAAGCCTTAGAAATACAAATAGTCAAACTGAAATTTGTTTTAAGTGTAAAATACACAGAAATTATCAAAACAGATTAAAAGCAGATTATAAAACAAGTCCTGTTTCCATAATCCATTCAATGCCCAAATTATAATTTTAATATATTTAGTACACTATTTTCAGAAAATTGCTTTATTAAAAATGTGATTACCAGAAAATTGAAAATTGGAGAAATTAAATATTTCATTCATTATTATATAGCTAATTATTATTGCAATGAATTCTCAGTGTTCGTAAAGATAAAAATTCTTTAATATCTTAACCACTATATTATACTACATCTTATTCAAAGTACTCATGGCAGATAAAGCTGTTATGCTTAAGCAAATAAATGAGGAGTAACTTCCTAAACTTAAAGGTAATAATATCGGCGTATTCTTGAGGGAACATTATGGTTTCTTTGGTATAATGCTCATTATGATCTTTGCAGGAAGTAGCTCTGTATGTAGGTACACTCTATACTGTACTGGTCAAAATTACCCAGGGGAATGATGTAGGAATAAAGATTCCTCGACACAATCCTAGAATCATTTTTTTCAAAGGGCTACATTTTTAGAATGAGGTTTATCCAGGTACAAGAATCGTAATAATAACCTGCATGGTTTCCCAATTTAAAATTGAATTTTTGTCACATTAGAAAGCGATATTTTTATATAATTGACAAATATTTGTGTGAGTTGCATACTGAATATTTGGTTAATAGAATTTTTAATCTTTTATTCTTTTTCATACTTCAAAAGAAAGAATAATTATTTTGTTATACCTTAAAATATTGTAAAAAGATTATGAAAGTCATGAATATGAATTTAGAATGTATATACATGATATTCTATCCATTTTCAGATTAACTTTTTAAAGACTGAAGTGGAAAGAAAGAGCAAAATGATCCGAGACCTCCAGAATGAGGTAAGATTTATATTTCAACCCATTTATATAAATCAATGCATATGTAAAATTCACATATCAATCTGCCACAAGTTTGGAGCTGTGGTTACCTGCAGACATGATCTTCATTTACAGAGTGATGTAGAGAAACAGTGAGGCTGAGAATTTAAGAATGCATTATTCTTATTTACAAATATTTTGTAATGTGGTTAGTCCAAATCTCTCCAGACCAATGTCGTCTCTAAATATATTTTGCTTGGGGTAATATTAAAATCATTTCTTCTGTAGATACATGTATCTGTCTACCAAGCAGCAGCACAGTTGGCAAAAATTAGATACAGTAGTTCATGAATTTGGTAGTTCTAAAATAAGTGACTCACAAGCTCCACCAAGGGAAGGAAAGGGGAAAGTTTCTGTCTGAGTAACAGAGAACTAAAGCAAAGAAAATATTGGATTGCTTATAGCTATACAGTTACTTCATTTGGTCTATGCAGTAGGAAAGTCCCTAGCTATAAAATTGTGTTTGTTGATTTCCTCTGATTGGTTAAACTTAAGCTCATTTTTCTTTAATATGGTCATCTGCAACAAATGGATCAAGTTAAGCTTCATTCACATTTGAAAATCAAGCAAGGATAAAGTCACTTGTGAGGCTCATCTGGGTTTTTATCCTCAGAAGTTCTTGGTGCCTGGTATTCACTTTAATTTACTTCAGCATTCTTTGTGCATTCAAGTGTTAATTTCTCATTTTGTGTTAGGATATATTCTGGCAGCAATGAACACAAAAAGTTTCAACAGAAAATAAAATCAAAGAAACAAAAATTCAACTTCATTTCTCTGACTTCTCATATTTGTAACTGTATCATTTTGTGAAACGATCAATCTCTTATATCACAAATTTCTGAATTTATTTTTAATTTCTACTTTAAAATCCTCCTGCTACATTACCATTTTCAGTTTCTTCAATTTTGTATGCTTTCCCCCTAAGGTAAAGTCATTTTGTCTGTATTCTTGTGAAAAACAAGACTGGTGGAATGAATAGATTAATGCAAGTCTTGGAAACCTTAGACAAATCAAGCATTGGCACAAACATCTTTGATAAGCTGAAATTTCTTAATGAGAGGCATGAATTTTATAATGTTTGAGACTTTTTAAAGGAATGCATTGACAATAAAATGTTGGCTATTTTTGATGGACATTAATATGAAAGCATAGCATATATTGAATTAATGAGTAGATATCCAAAGAAGAGGAAGATAAAGGGAGGGAGGAGAGAACAAGTAGGCAGGGAGAAAGGGAGGGAGAGATGAGGAAATGGAGGGTATATAGAAGGAAGGAAAGACAAGAAAGTGTTTCTCCCCATTCTCTTCTATAGTAACTTGTTATTTATATTATGATCGATTCATTTCCTGGGACTCATTCAAGATATCTAAGAATGAAATAGGGATTCGCACTAAAACAATTAAGGTCAGGAGCTTTGAAAGTGAACCTCCTTCTGCCAGTGATGGAAATCAGAAATTCATCAAAGCTACTCTTTCTCAGAGGCAGCCTTTACCTTTCACTATTTCATGATTTGATTCTGCTCTGGCCATTACTTCAGTTCTCTTACTCTATATTTTCAATAAGGACCACACAGTTTAATCTAACTTTAATTAATAATCTGCCTCTTTCAGACCCTATTACCAACTAGCTTAATATTCTTTATATTGTTTTATTGCTATTACTCTGAATGCCTGAGAGAAAAAAAAATCTTGCCACAAGTTAAGTCACTGTCCTATCTTTGCCTTTCGAGTCAATGACAAGAATCCAGAGACATGAGTAATAAAACTTTGATTTTTACTGCCAATGTAACACTGTTCTTGGTGCCGGTAAAATTTATTTTCTGATAATAAAGGGATTTATTAAGTCATACACAGACCTCACAAGATTTTTAAGAGATCAGACAATACATCTTGTCAGCTGCACTATAACATAACTTCTCAGACTTACCACTGGCTTGCTTTTCCTAAGGAAGAGCTATCTTTGATAGGATCAGGAAACTGCATACCTGCATCTTGCCCCCATACTGCAGACACCAGAATCACACAGCCGTGTGTTTTGTGTTTTTTGGATAGCATTTAGCTTGTTTTCAATATCTATATATTCAGAAGTCAGTCTGAGTAGCAGATCCTAAGTAATGTCTGACCAGAGCTGCAATTCACTTGATCTAGAAGGGATTTGATTAATTTGTATTGCATGGATTTAATTTTTAAAAGGATCTCATGTCATATAAAGGGTGCTCCAAAAATGATAACCTGTGTATTAAGTCAATTTTTAAAATAAAATATTACAGTCTATGGTAACCAGCTTTAGTATACTGTAAATTATCAATAGATGATATTGAAAGTTGAGAAGTATGCTCTGAGTATCAGTGATAGAGCATTCAATTTGGTACGTGTGTTACAATATATTATGTGTGTATGTGTATATGTATATATATGTATATAAATTTCTGTATCCTTATCTTGTGATTTTTATGTTGCTTAAATAAGATTTAGTTAGATAAGAACTTTCCTAGAATGTCACCCTTCACAGTTTTCACAAATACAACATATTGCCAGGTCTTTGTGTGTACTGAGAATTAATTACTAGCACATTTATGTCAATTCTTACATGAGTGAATTAAATGCAATAAAGAAACATATATGCTAACTGCAAACTTGAAGACTAAAGCTGATCTACTAATTTGCTATTCTTTCTAATAGGAATGCATACAAACCCTACAAAAGAGCTTGAAATGATCAGATAAAAGAAAGAAGATACATGTGCATGTATAAATTTTTGAAAGAAGAAGTTTTAGATTGTCAGAAGCAGTTCATGAGTGAGATAAAAATAATAAAGGTCAATAATCATTGATCTAGAGAAAACTCCAGTAAATTTTCAGAAGGAAACCCATTTTGGTTTGACTCTTATGGCTGTAAATCTCTCCAAAATAAATTATTTTATCTCCTTGCCTCAATAAACATACCAAAGTGAAGATGATGGAATATTTCATAATATGACGGAGTCCTGCAGGGTCGTCATTTTGAAAAGGGATTCTCATGCCTGCCTGCAGATGAACAGGTCTAACAGTCAGTCAAATACACACTGAGCACAGGGGATGCTAAAGGTGTTTTCAAATACAACTTTTTCACTTTATTTCTGATGATTTACCTTTCTTTCTTGACCATTTCAGTGAAATTTTAGTCAACTGGTTATTCTGATTAATTTTTTACCCAGTATTTAAAGTGTACTATAACCCAACTGCATTAGGTGCTAGAGCTACTAAAAACAGTAACAAAAACTGGGTGGTTTAAGCAGAAATTTGCTGACTCACATTCCTAGACACTACAAGTCTGAAATCAAAGTGCAAGCAAGGCCATGTGTTTCTGAATGTTCTACAAAATCCTTCTTCCCTGCCTCTCTCTAACTTCAGCAACCCATGGCATGCTTTGAATCGCAGTTGCTTCCCTCTTATCATTACCTTTACTTTCAGATGACCGTTTCTGTGTTAGTTTTCTTTTTCTTTTCTCTTTTTAATAAAAACTCTAGGTATTAGATGTAAGACCCATCCCTAACATACACTACTTTGTTGTAACACATGTGCAAAATCTCTATTTTCATATGAGTTCACATTCTGGGGGGCCAAGTGGGCATGGATTTGGCAGTGATGATCTTCAGACAACTCCACCATCTGAGGGATTTTGTATACAAAATGTAAGCAACTTGATTTTTTTAAACAAGCAAGGAAGGAACATTTTATCAAATGTTAGCTTATCAATGGAATATTATTTATTTATTCATATATCTACACATTCATTACTCAAATGAACTCTGCTTCATCCTAGAGGGATATATATATTATCAAATTTCAATTACACAAACCAATCCCCTACCAAGAGTAATGTAAAGAATAGGACTTAATATTATATAATAGATGGCACCCTTGCCACATATGATCAAATAAGAGTCAATACAATTACACAGAATAAATACAATGTAAAGAAGTTTGACCCATTCATTTTCAATATAATGTTGTAAAGGGGAAGTTGAGAACAACCTTGTTAAGCAAACATAAATAAGTTGATATCTCAAACATTCCCTCGTAGGTGAACAGATTTTTAGTTGTTTATTGATGTTAGAAGAGCAGTTAATGTTGTTGGTATGCTGTAGCTGAATTCAATGTCAGGCCACTATACTTGAAAGCATTATGATTATGTCTTCAAATAAATGCTGAAAATATTTGTTATGTCACTGGGTAACCAATCAGGTTGATATAGTCAAAGTATAATATATAGGAGAAGAAATCTAAAAAGTTACCCTAACAAGATAATTTGCATCAATGAACTTTCTACTTTGTAACACAATAGAAGTTTTACTCAGCATTCCAGAGGTAACCCAGGACTACTATTTAATGAGAATTTACAGTTAGCCTTAGATTCCGTGTTACTACTGTTTGTATCACTTAATTCTGCCATTTAATTTCCTGAAAATGTTGTCTATGTATCTACATGACATGGAATCTTAGAAATCACTCAATGGGAACTGTATTTTTGGCAACCCCAACTACATCTGCATCACTTTTCAATTGTGATGAATCACAATTCATCACTGTTCAATTTTCTGGTAGAGAGATTTCTACTGCTTTCTGCCATGCCTCAAGAAAAGGGAAATACATGACTTCTTAACCTCATGTCATTTGTGACCATTACTTTTTATGTTTTATTAAGTATTATTACATTAGTACACGAGAAAGCCAAGCCTGCAGCTTCCTCTGGGTATATCACGTCAGTTCAAGGGTCCTAAGACGTGGGCTATCTTCCATTGCTTTCCCAGGTGGAAGTGTAGCAGCCAGGTATCGAATTGATGCCCATATGGGATGCCTGCATTGCAGGTAGAGGCTGAACCTGCTACACCACAATGCCAGCCCTATAATTCACTTCATTCTAAACAGTTGAGATGCTTCCCTCTTCTTCCTGTTGTTTTGCTACATTCAGATTTGCCCT